TGAAATGTGTAAAACTTCAAGGTCATTATTTATATCAAAGTGATGATTACAATTAAGGATATGATTAGCAGATAAACTTTTTGTATTGTATAAATCTCTGGGAGAATTTTTGTAGCTGTCAATCAATTTAACATGTTCAATAACACGAGTTTGAATTTTCCTTCCACTCTGACCAATGTATTGTGCCAAACAATTAGGTTGTGAACAAGAGATTTTATAGACACCGGATCTATGTAATGAGGGAATTTTGTCTTTGGTGTTGACTTACAAACGGGAAATTGTATCTGTGGTAAAAAATGAAACGTTAATTGATATTAGAGAGTTGAAGTGTTGTCATGAACGTTAACGTAAACGCATGCGCATTTTCCAATTCTTCACGTTTGCGTTGTTAGTGGGCTTACGGGTGTACGTTATCTTACGTTCCTTCACGTATACCTTAAATATCAACGTACGTTAACCAAACTATACTCGAAATATGCCGATGAGTCAAAATTATCAAATTCGAGATCACCAACGAGTTCTGCATCAAGGAGTCCTCTAATTTTGACAGGAATAAATGTTCGAATCTAAACACACAACCAAAAATGACCAATACAAGCCGAAAACAAAATGTATTATTACGTTATGATGACAGTGACGACCAAAGTGGCGACTTCAACTCAATTTAACGACAATACGTAATAGTTATTTAACCAACTAGTGTATTAACGAGGGCCATTAATGATCGAGAAATTTTAACGTGCGAGCGAAGCGAGCGCGTTAATGTTCGAGATCATTAATCGCCTTTTAATATACAAGTTGGTTACAAAATTTTTCCGTCGACTATATTTCTCATTTCTCCTGCAATGAAGAAAACTTGGTTCGCGAATTCATCATCCATCCGGAAACTGCTAAGAATCACCCAGTAGCCTTGTTACTGACATTAGTGACATTTGACATTTGTCGAAATGATCAACATAGAAAATAAATTCCTTGTGTTAGAAAACAGGGATTGAAATCGTGTTAGAAACTTGGAAAGGCGAACCCGTTAACGGAAAATCTTCGATGGAATCCATATTTATAGCATAAACAATGAATGCACGCGGTGTATGTTTGGTTGCCTATAAAACAATCGTGCATTAATAGACAAATCGTTCATTAATAGGGGTCATTAATGAACGATTTCATATACATTAAACTTAGTCGTTAATACGAGGTCGACGGAAAACGTTATTTTTCGTACGTTAACGTCTACGTGGAGGTCTACGTACAGTGATTACTTCAACTCTCTATTATCGTTAGAACGTTGTAAAATGTTTTTTAGATCGTATGAAACTTTACCCGGGAAAGATATGAATATATGTGTTTTTACTAACAACCCCATTTTTCAAAGCGCCATAACTGTACATCGCTTTTCTTCAGCGTTGAATTGCACAGGGTGTATTTTTCGTTTCAGTTTTCCGAGGGTAGACGCAGAACAACAAATCATCAACCATGGACGCGATCAAGAAGAAAATGCAGGCGATGAAGCTGGAAAAAGACAATGCGTTGGACCGAGCAGCTCACATGGAGCAGCTCGCCAAAGATGCCAACGTCCGAGCTGAAAAGGTACTATACGGTGTCCTTCAAAAAGTTGACACCATATGAAGAAAATTTTCGATAAATAATTTTTCTGTGACGGGAAAAAAGTTTGGCATTTCATCTCTGTTGACAGGCTATAAAATGTCACTTTTCATAAATTACTTTTTTCCCGTGGGAAAACAGTGAGTACTTTTTTCCCGGATATATTATCACATATATATACACTGTTGATGGCTTTTGTTGTGTTATACTTCCGAAAAATGAGTCAATAATCCCGTCTCCGAGAAAGAACTGCAAGTCCTTTTATCTTCCATTCGACTTCGCGGTTACGTATATTACTAAACAACCACTAAATTCGCAATTTTTTGAAATCAAATCAGAGAATTAGACTGACAGAAGTGACAACAGATATTTGATTACTTCAAAAGAATGATAAAGATGCCTACAACGGAGGTGTCCCTACTGTTAAAAACTCAAAATTACACGTCGATAATTTTCAGATTTCAAAATAATGTAATATCTCCTCAATATTGATTCGTACTTTCCTCTGTCACAGAAAAAAATAGTGTATTATACACGGGAAAAATATTAGATTTTAGCTCACGGTTTTTTGTCTCCCCCGCTACGCGTCGGGAGACAACACAACCTGGTGCTAAAATATACTACTTTTTTTCCTTGTATAATAAATAACTATTATTTTGAAATTTGAAATTTGAAAATATCGAAATTTGTTATCGAAATAATTTGTCATGCCATCCTTGCAAAGGACATCTGTATACCTACTTAGACAAAAATATCTACAGTGTTGTCTACTGAAGACTAGAACTATATTAGCTTTCAAAATAAAACATTCGAAAATATACACTAGCAGAAAGTTTACGATGCGTGATTTTGAAATAAGTTCATATACTGAATAAATTATTATACTTTTAGGAAATTCTCCCAAAATATAATTTTTTTCCTAACTTTCCTAATAAACGAACAAAAAATTGAAAACAAATATCAAGTACGCCATTTTGAGACGATCGAAATGGTAAAAATCAATGACATTTAGGCGAATACAACGTTAGCATTTTTACATGTGGAAATAGGGTGTTTTGCCTCAAATTTTATCTTGATCACTGTGCTTTTTTGAAGGTGCAATCCGATAGTACACACATCTGAACTTTGTTTGGTTCGAGTTTTATGTATTTATTGTCACCCTATATAACATAAATCTCAGTTAATTACTATTTTCAAAAAAATCTCGCACATTGTCTGAAAAGTAACAAAATTGTCAACAAAAAATTGAAGTTGATATTTTTGGCAGAATGTCGAATTGATTGCTATTTATTATCGAATTATATCCGACGAATGATGCTGTTTTTCGACTGCATTATTCAATCTTGACTCTATTCCAAAATTGTAAAGGTTAGAACATGAGCATAAATTAAAAGGTTTTGACTTCGAATATCTGCCAGAATCCTCGACACGATCTCCACCTTTTGTTGTGTTGGAAACATTGTCAATGTCTCAGATTTTGTCATCTCGTCTAAAATCTCCATAAAATTGATGTTATCTTTAGAACGTTTCTGCTAATGAATATTTTACATGTTTTTTTTGTATACACAATAATCGCTTAACATTTCTGATCGGCCAAATGTTACCACTACTTCATTATATATTTTCGAGGTTGTCAAACGGTTTCCTATAGTAATTGAATAACATTTTCTACTTTCAATCAACTTTGACACCCAGTATACTTATCATGCAAAGAATGAATTGATATAGGATATGTCAGCAGGTATTTCTAGTATTCTAGTCCTGATATAAGCTCTTCAATATGTACATGACAGTTTTAGGACACACTGTTCATCTTTATGAAGTGTGTCTCAATTTACTTTACCTTATTATTTTGTTTTCAAATATCATTTTCATCACATAGAATTTTGTATCTATCACGACTATGCAAAGCATTACGAAAAAATTCAGTTTTTTAACAAAAATTCGAAGGTGGCAATGAAATTGTACAAAACCTCAAACCTAAAATTCGATTTTCTTGAAACTCCCTTTTTGTAGGCGGAAGAAGAAGCCCGTACCCTCCAGAAGAAGATCCAGACCATTGAAAATGATCTCGACCAAACTCAAGAACAACTCACCCAAGTCAATGGAAAATTAGAAGAGAAAGAAAAAGCTCTGCAAAACGTGAGTATAATATTTAATTATCATTATCTTATCAATGTTTCCTTCTTCAGTGTTTCTGCACAAAACATAACAGCAGTCATTGTTGGGGAATTTTTTTTAATGTGCGCTCTCACCATAATACACATCTTTCGACTATTACTGTTCCTGAACGTCCGGCAACGTCGTAAAAGTCATTGATACTGATTGAACAAAGTGTGGTTTCTAAGATGAAGAAAGAAGGTTAAATAGTTGTGCTACCGCTACCAAAGATATAGCGATAGCGTATCAATTGTTTAGGAATGATTTCTATAGGTATGACGTTATGATACTAAATTGTTAAAACAATGGGGTACGATACAGTGTATGTCTTCAATTGACAATAGTTTGTGAAATAAATCACGTCTCCGTCTTCTGATGTACGATTCTGATGACAGCTCTGTATTAAATTAGAATTTATTCATGTTATTTCTGGTGTAGAATCGTTTCGCTATTACATATTATATATCTTGAAGCCGATATGATAATTTCCCACTCAGCATTAATGCTGCAAACTTCATTCTTGCGAACAGTCATTCCGTGGTCGTTAAATAATTCACTATTCTAACGTTACCTGATCTTGAGATGCGGAGATAGCTATAGATACCTCTCTAATACTCTTTCCTCCAGGAATCACCCTGTATGAACGAATTTCATTTCGCGAATGCGAGAATAGAAAATGAGTTAAATTTAATAGTATTCTCATGGCAAAACTAAAACGTTCAACATCACGTTTACATAAAGTTCTAAAAATATACCAAGAACTCGATAGCCAGCCAAATATGGCGAGATGATCTGTGCCGTCCCTGTTCAAACCCGTGACGTAATTTTCTTAGCAGGGACTATCTGTCTACGTACCTACTTCAACGTGGACGATTTTACATTCGAAAATGTAGGTCATCTGAGTAAATATTCCTTTGAATTTGAATGAAAGTTCCAAAGTGACAAATTTCTCCTTGCACAATGCACAATTAGTTGCATACCTGGAAGGGGCAATGAACAGTGCTGATAATCTAAAAATATCATTTTATTATTATACTATGAATGCGTTATTTGTGCCAGAGAAACATCGAAATTCCCATTGATGATAAAATTAATAAGCATTGAACGATAAATAATAGCAAACTATAGAAACGATCTTGTTTTTCGGTACATAAGGATTAAAATTAGATAATACTAGCAGCGCCACAAGTCAAATATAGTTCCCCGACTGCCCGCTCGACTCCAGCGCTAGTGAGTCCAATATGGCGGAAATGAGTCGCACGCGTTAAGTGTCACCTCGTTAAAAATATGTCAACACCGAGGGCGACTGGTAATACTAGAAAAAGGGGGCACCAACACCATCCTCGAAACGAAGGCAACAGAAGATCTGCCTTAAATAAAAGTTACCAGCCAAAAACCAGTGAAAGTATCCCTCAAGATGCAGTGACAGTGCATAAATCAACAATAACAAATGAAAATACGGTCATAAAAAATAGTGCCTCTACTCAAAGTAGTCCAGAACAACAACAACAAAAGTCAATGGTCATCCTAGATGACAGCAACGGCAATAAATGTGATATTGAAGTGATAGATTTAACTAATTGTGATGAAGAAGTAGTTGATAGTAATCAAGCAACAGGTAGCGAAAAAGTTTGTCGAAAGTGCAGTAAAGATGTCAAGGAAGATCGCAACAATAAAATACGCAAATCCAGAACATCCAAACCTCCCGAAAAGAAAGATTGCGAAGAAACTAAAGCAGATATGTCTCTTATTTACCGACCTGAGGCAGAGGGGTCAAGCCAGAGTGATCAAGAAGATAACATCAGTCTTGATCCGGAATTGGAAGAGTTATCAAAGCTCCGCTGTACGTCAGAAATGACTGAAGTGGTAGCTGAAAGGGAGAAACGTCGTAATAGAAGATGTGCTGATTATCCTGGACTGGCATTCAGTTCCATATTCAGCTCTGATACCCTCATGAAGTTTTCAATCATCAGGAATGAACTACACAATATTATGAATACACAACTAAAAAGGGTAGGTTTTTTATGAATTATTTTGATTCTGAAAATTGTTTTAAAATTGTTCTTATCCCTCCTCTGGTTACCCCTTCACTAGCAACCCTCAGAAGTCTTGGAGAGACTTTCCAAGCAAGGTATGACGGGGCCTTTACTTTCAATATGTGATCCCAAACACTTTCTTAGGCCAATAGAAAAGTAGAATAGAATATAAATGGCACATCACAGATGTCAACACATTCCATATAGGTAGGCATAGGTATGATTTCTCTTTTTACCAATCTTGAAACAGTACAGTTCTTATAAATACCTAGCCATCACACAGTATATGTAGAATGCTGGTGGTGTATGCCTGTCTACCTAGGTATGCATTCTTTTAAAAATTCATGTAATATTTCCTGGAATGGTGACAAAACAACACCCTGTAGGTGGATGTGGAAAGTGGCATCACAATACAGGATATCTTGGCAATGTTGCCAAGTGAGTTTTCTACCTGTCCTTTCATTTGATTTGTAGGAAATACAGTAACTAGTGTAAGTAGGAATCAAGATTGCAACTCAAATTAAGATATTTCAAAATATTTTTTTTTTAGTGTCATAGGTTATTCACGGTCCTCAAGGTCAACAGATGACGTTGGAAGACATTAAAAACACGGGAAAACATGTCTAACTCTCAATCTAAGCCAGGAATTAGGAATTTTTTCCTGTAGTTTTCACGTCATCACAACGTCAGATGATGACCTTCAATACCGCGATCCTATCGTAACATACAGCCTTGATAGGAAAGATGAAATTTCATGTTGATTCATGGACACTTTCTGTGGCATGTTTGTAAATGACAGGCGAGCAGAGACCTTTCCAAAGCAAAATACACAAAATCACTTGTATTTTCATTAAATCTGTCATGAGGTCTCTGATATGTCCTTGTTAAATATCTGTCAGTTTTGATCGAAAGTGTTAGGTTAGGGGAATAAAAAAAAAACAAAATCAAACTTTATTCATTCCATGATAGTCGTTAGTACAAAATACGAGCGAAATATATCACTATTACAGATTATGTAATCCTGTACAGAAAATACAGAAATTACCTAAGCATAAATGCTTGGATAGAATAATTATGGTGTATTGTCTGATAAATAAGATCAGTGAACCACGGTGGAATTCTAGAGTACAAACAACTGGAATTACCTGGATTTTCTTGGAATACCCCGGAATTCCTTGGGTGAAGTGCGGTATATTGGGTATATTCCTGGTCTACAAACAACTGGAATTCCTTGAAATTCTTGTGGAATTGAAGTTTGGTGTACACCATTTTGACCGCCATTCACCCTTCGGATAATTTCGATGTGTTTTCATTATGTTAGCATAATGAAAACAAATTTCCGAGTTATGCTGTCCAGAAAGTAGACGCGGCAACGCTGCTCATAAACGTCACGTCAATGTCACAACTTCTCTAATTCAGAATAATTGAATAATAGACAATAGACGGAGAACCGAACAATAGTCATGTTAGTTTTGCATGTGCGATTGTTTATAAATAATTGTGGTACATCCTGACCATATTGTAAACGCCCTTTTTTCCGTAATTTCAAAGCTGAAAGAGCCGCGCCTTTCGTTCGAAATTCCGAAAACGTCCAGCAGGTGTCACGAACGCCTGCGCGCTGCGCGTAGCCATTTTGACCGGTGACTCGCCCAGTTGACTCAGACGAAAGTTGCGAGTGGTTTGTATTCTGTTTTTTTCGGGTAGTGCGCGACTCTTTTTTCCATTGAAATATGACCACCAACATCCAGCAAGGGTCCCTCTTGGACGTGCTCAAGAAAAAAATGAGACAAACCAAGGAGGAAATGGAGAGGTACAAGGACGAATGTGAGGAATTCAACAAGAGACTTCAGGTCGAAGTAATGAGAAGAGAAGAGGTATGTCTGTCTCAAAACGTGTTTTCAGGACCACGTACTTATGAAACGGGTCGACCGTTTCATGCTAATAACTACTGGAATTTGCATAGACAGGGTGTATTTTTCTTCTCTTATCCGAGATTACACATTCCATTGATTTCGAAGGTGACGTTATCGTCGTGTTGCTTATTTGCATAATAAATCGGTAATTCAGATAGCTAATCTTTACATTTTGTTTTGATACGATTCGAGGTATGATTACTATGGAAATGTCTACAACAATAGGCATCCTTTTTTTCCATCCCAAAGTGAAGGCTACTAGGTGCCTACCTCTACAATCTGCATCTTGATAATCTTCTGATTCCATCTGAGATGTCATGTTTTTATTATAATATTCTCAACTGGATGGTTGAGTACTAATTGAATATTTAAATACTTAACTACCAACAGTACCGACCCAATTATAGCTATTATATCTATGTCTTCTACATTCTGTTACCCTTGGTGTTATCCCTAGCTGGAAATCAAGGTTTCTATACCTACTTTTATCAAATTAATAAATTCATTAAGTAGATGCTTCAGGATTATTCTAAAGCTCATTTCATTTACTTAATTTGTCAAAGTTATACCTACCTACAACCCTTTAATATGCAATACTTGATTCAAAATTTGTTCTGAAGTCATCAGAAATATGTACAGCCAAAGTCATATACCTACAAACTTATTATTCTCATCCTCATCCATTCCATATCTCCATAGATTTCAAATTCTTATATACTTGCTCTGAACTTTTTCTGATTCTAACTATTTCATAATTTCATTCTAAGCTGTTATTAACGGCCCCTATTGTCCCATCTCCAATTGACATGAAAATTGTTGAGAAAATTTGCAAAATAGCAATGCAATGAGTGCAATGGAAGTTGATTTGCCATATAAGGACCTAGCTGCTCAATTGCCTTGTATATCATCAGATCATCATTAGGAATAGGTGACAATCTGATGACAAGAATTACCTACTGTTTGCCTGTTATTAGTTTTTTTTTAAATATTTATCCACTTGTAAACAGTTCTGTAAACTGCTAGTTATATTATAGCCAAGTTACTGTAGTAAGTTGTAGATTTCTAGATGAGTCATTATTCACAATCTTTTTCCTTATCTGTTCTCAGTTTGATAAGAAAATAATAAAAGATATGTACCTATATGGAGCTCTGAGAAATGAATGCTTCATGCATAATACCACTCTGTATATTCCACAGCTCATACCTAGATTAGGAAATTAGAATTCTCTCTCGAATTCTCTCTATGTTTAGGAAATTTCCAAAAGAGTAGTTGCTGTAGAATATAGCATCTTTTTGGTCTTTTTGAGCATCTATCTTGTACAATAAATACCACTTATAAAAATGTCAACAAGTTTGGGTACTGTATATTATAAAGTTTCTCTATGCCAAGGACCAACTAGGTATGATTTATATTTTTCACAGTATGCAAAAGATTAGGCAGTGTTTTGGAATTGAGACATTTTGGTTTTGAGCAATTTTTCTGGATACTTGATATTATGATGTTCCTACTTATCTGTAAAAAAGAGAATAAAAACCTGTTGTTGGAAGAGGAGGATTTGATTCCATATTGATAAATTTCTCTCATTTTTTTTTCTCTTGGGGGGCATGGAAGGAAATTCTTATAATTTTCCTGGAACATCCTGCATATGTAGGGAAGGTAGGTGTTGAATTTTTTTTGATCTCTTGGAGGCTATGAGTTCTTGGGAATAATTCCATTCAAGGTTGGTAGAACTGATTATTACAAAATAATCATCATTTCTACCAACCTTGATTCCATTGGCAAATAAATCCAAAGCTTCGCCGTTCTATAGACAAACGAGTTTAGGTACAGTCTTGTTCCACATAATTCAAGATTATAAACCATTTCTTCAAATAGTGTTTTTGTGCGTTTTGAGAAATAAAGGTTATTTGGAGGGTTATTTATTTACTCTTGATCTACCTTTTTTTTTTACTTTCTTCGTATGTGAAAAAAGTGAAAATTTTTAACTTCGCCCTGTACCTCAAAAACATGACGGATTATGACAATTCTGGTTGCGGCATTATTCGTTTCACAAAAAAGTAAGACAGTACTGTGCATCTAAAACTGGAAACACTAGTTGAGTCTAGAGTCACTGGATGCTATTAGTTTGATAAGAGTTCGGACACAGCGGAACTTTTGTCCTTTTCTATTTTCTATAATACAATGGTTTAAGTGAATAAAAGAATAAGACATATAATCTGCTCTTTGTCTTCAATTTCCCTAGTAGTGCCTGATTGTCAGATACGATTTTAGAGGTTAGATTTTATGTCAGATCAATCATAGCCGTAGATGGACAATGGATATAGGGTACAAACACTCACTTAAATTTATAGTGATACACTTCTAGCAGAACAACTGTTATATAAATGAAAAGAAAGCATGTACCAACATTTTAATATTAGAAAATATACACATATTGATTAACTTATAGCTCCTTATTGTATGTCAAACTGTACTTCAGTGATAAGTATAAAACACGAATTTATTACGGGTGTGAAAGCAGCAACGGTTTTTCTGGCAACGGTTTTTCAACTTCATTTATGGTATATGGAGGAAGGACTTTTTCTTTCGCTCAAGATTTTTCTACACAAGTCCACTAACCTGAAGAAGTTGAGAAAGGCTCCTAACAAAAAAATAATTTGTGATTTCTAAACCACCCCATAACCACCCCACATAACAGAAAAATCGTGAGACAGTTGGGAGATACCTTAATCGCGATTTCATTATGTAAATCGATAATTTTACACTAATTGAACACCCTCCATACAATGAAATAATTTGTGAACTAGAAACTACCCCTCAACAACCCTCCGAAATAGAAAATTCATAAATCAGTTGAAATTACAGTTGCGCGATGTTTTTTGATGGAAATGAATTATTCTAGACCTGCTGACTACTCTTTGTAGGGTGAAATATTTTGTGAACCAAAAACTACCCCTCAGCAACCCTCCGAAGTATAAAGATCATAAATCAGTTGAAATTCCCGTTGCATGAGATTTTTTTATGGAAATGGATAATTCTAGACCTGTTGTATACGGTTTATGG